CCAAAATTGAGGCAAAACCAAAAATGTTAATATTATCATCATAATTGTCGCCCTCAGAGACGTCATTGCCCGGAAAACGTATTGCATTGTCTCATATACTCAAGGCAAGACATAATATCATTAAAATCACAATTGAAGCACTTACATTAGGGAGGGGACATGTCATGTGTTATGGTATCATGTGTCCTTCTCTGTACATCGAAAAAATGGGTCTCCTGGTACTGACGTCACAGATTGTGTGATTTTGGCCCAAAGACCACAGCTTAGACCGGGTGGCAGTTCATTTTTGTGAGGACCAGGGCCCATCCCATTGACCTACGAGGTCAGTTGTTCCGACACTTTTCACTTGAATAAATCATTTGGGCTGCCGTTTTTTTTTTTAAATCATTTTTTCCCCAATTTTTTAAAATAAATATCATGCTCCTCAAAAAAGTTATACGATTCACGTTTTTTAATATCAATGTTATCTCTCGTGTGATATACCATCATAATCGACTTTGGTATCATTAAAATGCCCGTTTACTCCTACTTTACCATGATGCCCTATTTGTAATTATTATGTCGTCATTGAATGTGCACGAGTCCTGCATTTGGGGGCCCAAAGTAAAAAGCGAAATCTTGCAATTTTCCATTTTGTTTGGAGTATGCATTGTGTTTGATAATGTTGAAGTGGTATTGCATGAAAGTAAATGGTGTAATCTATTCTTTGGAGGATGGAAGGCGTTAAGTACGATCTATCTACTAAAAGTAAGAATGGCCCAAGCCAATTTTTTTTCTTCTTCAAACAAAATAAAACATTGCTTCATTTATAAATGACCACCTCAACAATATCTAAATGTATTTAATTTAATTTGCCATGTGGGGAGGGGGGGGGGTCATATTCAGGTGTACTGTATATTCCACGATTATGCAATCCTTACGAAAGGGGGGTAAACGGGCCTTTTAACGATACCACATTCATTTATGATGGTACATTAACAAGAGAGATCTTAAACTTGAATCTTACAACTTTTTTGAGTAAATGATATATACATAGTCATTTTTTTCTGTTGCATACTTAGCAAACATAACGTGAACTTCATGAAGATAGAGTATTTGAATGATAAAACTACTCCCCCCTAAAGTTTATAGTTTTGTCTCATTAATGTGTGGTGAATTTCCTTTTTTTATCTGTTGAAATTGATTTGTTTTTTAATAATATATTACAAATTTACCAAGTTCTTCATGTAGTTTACCTTATGTACAATGGCAGAGATAGGGAATGGGGAGAGAGAAAAAGAGAGACAAAGGATGAGACGAAAGGGGTGGTCGTGGTGGTGGTAAGAAGGCGTGAAACAAGAGAAGAGAACGATGTTGAGAAACAGAGGGAGGGGAGGGGGTATAAAATTAAAGGGGCAATAATTTGACGAATGGAGTGAGTGATGGTGAATAAAGAGGAGATGAGCGAGAAAAATGAAAGGGGAACAAATGTAAAGATAACAATACACACAGAGAAAAGTGATAGAGGTAGAGTATAAAAGGGCAAGATAATGGTGCGAGAGTGTAACGAATATAGTGGGTGAGGTAAAAGAAAAAAGAAAAGAGGGGGCTAAAATGTAAAAGGAACCAAATACGAAGGAACAAGATAGGGATGGAAGATGAAAATGTAATGGAGTGGGGGAGGTTTAAGAAAGAAGAAGACTAAATGCCGAATGTAAAAAAGGAGCAAAATAGAAAGTGGGTATTGAGGGAGCAAGAAAGGGGTGCAAGAAAGGGGTGCAAATGGAGTAGGAGGGTTTATTAAAGAGAGAGGGTTATAAAGTGATAAGAAAGGGATGTAAGAAAATACAAATGGAGTGGGGCGAAGATAAGGAAATGAAGAACAAGGTAGAAGGGGGGGGGGGGCTTAACTTTAAGTGTTAAAAGAACATGAAATAAATACAAATAGCCAAAAGAAAAACAAAATGACAAATGCATTTAATCAAAACGCCGTAGACGCACAAAATAATAGGTGATACAATTTACTTGTTCGCAAGTACATGTATAACTTTAAAAAACTTATTTGTCAGACAAACCAATCAATCAAAATTTAATAACCAATAAGAAAATTATGAGTTTTTGATGACATGAAAAACTTTGAAAATCACAAGACAAATTGGCAGCTCACTCATGAGTCTGTGACGTCATTGCCTTTAACTATCCACTTATTGTTTTCTTGTTATTGATATAATAAATTTCTCATTTTCCCCATAATAATCTTATTCCTCACACCAGCATCCAAGCTATAATGATATTAATATGTTTTTGTGTGGATGCACTAATAAAGAATAATTTTGTTCAAATAAATCATGACAAATGTGAACTATTTATATAAAAATCAATGATTATGAATATACAATATTCTGAAAAAAGTAAGCAATTCTTCAAAAATGTCATGCACGCATAATGATACAAGTCATATACCCTAGGCAAAGGCATGGATAAATCCAAGTTTTGGGGGATAAAAAGGGAAATTAATGGATAAAAATATATAAAGCAATTGATAAATGGTGAGGCAATGACGTCACAAACTGATAACCAGATTGGCAATTTGTGTAGTGATTTCCATTGTTCCATAGTTTTGTTAATACTTTTTCAAACATTCATAACTTCCTTATCAGTTATCCGATTTTATTCAATTTTGTGCTCTGTTTCCCTTGTTTTTCTGCATATATTAAATGCAAATTATTTTTGGAGTGGACTCGGCCTTTTAAGAAATTGACAGCCCCGAGGTAGTGCTTAGAGACTATTTATTTTGACAAGAGTTATGTGGTTCATTTTCATCTCATAATTATGTTTTGGTATGTAATCTATACCAACGCCGATGAATAATTGAAATATTTAAATGTAGACCAAATCCAAGAGACACGGAATTAAATTTCTAGAGAACTTTCAACTTTGAATTAAAAAAATAGAGACAGATCAACAAACTAGTGATATAATATACTAAGTAATGAAATGCACGTCATTTGATTTTCCAATCAACCATTTATCAAATTAATGAAATATTGAATTTTAATGTGTTACGGAATGATATGAATTTTTTTCATTTTGTAACAAAGCTAGTTTGATAATTGCCATATTATTTTATGAACTTGATGAAAGATTGATAGGAAAATCAGCTGTAGTGAAAGTTCCTGATATAAATTTGTAGATCATACCATAAATGTGTTCATGTTTATCAAAATGTCTATAATATTCTTTATAAAACTTTATACATTCTCTGAAAATGTAATTCCATAACGTTTGGAATTGACCAATAGTAAATTTAATATTTGGGGTTAATTCCCCTTACCGATCTCACAAAGGAAAAACTGTTGTCTGTGGTTGTAAAGGCAGGAATCGCATGAAAATTATTAAATGAATAATACTAATACTAAACAAAAATAATTGAATTACAATTCAGGCACTTGGTGATGCAATGTGATAAGAGTACATTGTATATATTGGTAATAAATTTTTTAAAAAGTAAATAAAAGGTTGCAAAAGATAGTATAACAAATTTCGTATCTCTTGATTTGAGTAGGATTTGCATAATGATCAACTTGGGCAATAAATATGAATATTTGTTGATAATTATTCTAACATCATGGTTAAAAGCTGAAATATAAATAGAGTAATTCAAACATATTTTTGCAATGTTCCATGCACACCAACTGGATATTTGGCGAAGAAAATCCCAACTCAAAATTAAATTATGCAAACTTGGTTAACAAAAAATGCCCGACTATGAAACATGGATCTTGTTTGAATATTATAACTATTTCAATATTGCCATTACATTTTATGTAATATAAACCGATAGGGAAGTTGTATTGGAAGAATGTACCAATCATTGTTCGGCCACTGAAACACAGGTTTTGCCAATTTTAGACAATTTGAATTATTTATAAATAATTTCCAGCACTTCATATTAATCAATTTCTACGTTTTACCACTGACATTTGGTAAAATACAAAATGTGATATCTGTTATCCTAATCTAAGCGTGGAAGATGACATTTTTTTTTGGTAATACATCATTGTGCACCAAAAAGGCAAATGTAGGCTGTCAATTGCCAATTTGAAAAATAACTTGTAACAAATAAGTGTAAAACATTATATACACTGTACACATAGCACTGCAGCACCAACAAAATCATGTACCCTTAAATACTGAATGTAATAATTATAGGAATATACATGTATGGTAAAACATTTTTGATTTTCATAATCTTAAATTATTTAAATAACTATCCTCAATACAAACGCTTAGGCGTAGAAACTACAAATTCATATATATATTCTATTTCTAAGGCTATGCAATATCTACATGTTCATGAGATTGCTTGATTTGATTAAAAATACAGTTATTTAGCGATTTAAATCAAACGGCAAGAGAAAACCTTAAATAATGTATTGATGCATTCATAACATATTATATATGTTTCATTTACTTCTCTATATGACTAATTCTCGTTTCACAAACTCAGCACCTTATATATTTAATACCAACATTGTAATAAAATGTGATTAAGATTTGGCGTGTGCACTTACATAGAATTTAATATAAGTTGCAAAGAATTATACTAAAAATGTGGAAGTTTGATTTTGAAAAGCGCATATGCAGCTTTGATATGTTCACTAGGGTGCGTTTACTTTTTATCCAATGTTATATGGCCATCCGAAAAATAATGGGGGTATAATGGAAACTGTTTTATATTCTGTAAAAGTCGGTCATGCTTAGGGCCCCTATTTGTGAAATCATGCGTAGGATAAAAGCAAACACGTTTTTTAGGGACAGTATACCTTCGATTCTTTATCTTCATTGATCACAGAAAATCACTGCGTTATCATATTAAAAACGCAACAACTTTGTGTGATATTACATAATCATAAAGAATAAACTTACAGCATTCTAGGTTCAGAGCAACGTATCGTTACACTGCAAACGTTCATATGCCATCACACTAATTATAATGAAATCATATAAATAGTTAATTAAATAATGGGGGGTATTATGGAAACTTTCTTATATTCTGTAAAAGTCGGTGATGTGTTTAGGGCCCCTATTTGTGAAATCATGCGTAGGGTAAAAGCAAACACGGTTTTTAGGGACAGTTTACCTTCGATTCTTTATCTTCATTGATCACAGAAAATCACTGCGTTATCATATTAAAAATGCTTCAACTTTGTTTGATATTACATAATTATGAATAATAAACTTACAACATTCTAGGTTATGAGCAACGTATCGTTACACTGCAAAGGTTCATATGCCATCACACTAATTATAATAAATCATATAAATAGTTAATTATAATATCACAATAACTATTAAAGCCTAACACCCATGGACAATTATCCCCAGACATCTCCTTGTAAGTGTGTAGAAAGGGGCAATAGTATAGGTAGACCCAGCCATTGAGGAGGGTGGCTGGCATCTGGGGGTAGAGGGCACCATTTTTATCAGGTGGATGGAGTACAAATTAATAAGAAAACAGTTATTAGGGGAAGGGTAAGTGAGGGGGTCCCATGATTCCTTTTTCATGACCCCATTCCCCACTCCCTTTCATTTTCTCCAATTTTTTTCCTTACTCTATTTTTTCTATCATTCATTGCGGGGGATAGGGGTACGGAAGGGCCTCCAACTCCATTTCCTTGCCACTGGCACCATGTAATTATCTAGAGGCGTATCCTCATAATTGATAAACAAGTGAAAGAATCCACCACAGACGAGAAGCCATATTTACTCAGGTAGCCCCCTCATGATGTAAAAGCATTTTCTTGGGCCTTCAAAGGGGTCAGGGGGCTACAACCGGCTTCACCCGAAGCTAGATACGCCACTGATGACTGTCTGAAACTATAAAGTCAAATCATTGAAGTGGGTTCACTCTTAGAAGAAATGCCACCATGATCCATCACCGCCCGACTGAGCGTCGGGTGAGCTGCCCAACCGCGATCGTCGTGACCCGAAGTCGGCCGCCCCTCTCCCCGATGCTATACTGGCTCGTATGTCGACGATCGACCGTGCCGACTTGACGCTGACATCGGAGCTTGTCCCGTCGTGACTGGCGGGGATGCTGAGCCTACCCTGCAGCGGTCCACCCGGTCCACCACCACCTCCTAGTCCAGCTCCACCGCTGACCTGGCCGCCTGGTTGGGTGCTGGAGTCATCGTCCTCGGATATTACTCGCTCCCACTTGTGGCTTAGCAGCTCCTGGGAGTCGGTGTCAGCGGCATCGAGGGCTGGCTCGACACCGGAGGCTTGGGCAACTGGGAGAGGAAAAGACAATTCCACTAATTTGTTAAAATGTCAAAATTATATGTTAGAACATTATGATGCATTAATACACCAAACAAAAAATGTCTATGTGGCTCTTAAAATATGCAATGCCGTAGCTATGGATAAGGGGTAAGGGGGCAGGCACAGGGACATGCATGCACGAGCCCCCTCACTATAAACAGAGCAAAATTTAAAGAACAAATGAGGCTCAAGGTGTCACCTTGGGGAAAGACAAAATAAAGAAGAAAGTATGACCATCTCACACCCTCCCTTTCATGGTAGAATGTCATCTACCCAACATGCCCTCCATGTCTGACCAGCATTACTTCACTGATACTGATCAAATAATTACGTAAGGAATGAAACGGTACAATTGACCTTCAATACAGCGAGAAAATCCACAATTTTGTTTAATATACTGTCCGACCACTTGCAGTCACATTTGCTTCTTTCTTAAAACGTCAATGTCTTGCCGACTTTTTGTCATTCTTTCTATTGTAATGGTACTTTCCCTTATAAAGAAGTCCCGTCGGTCGATTTCACCACTGAACATGTCTTCATCAGTTTTAGTTTTCAGAATCAATTTGCCATTCCACTGTGCTACACTGCTACGTAACAATCAATCTAATTTAGAAACTTACGCATACGGGCGTCGCATAATTGCATGAGTGCCTGTACGGATTTAGAGCACGCTATTTGCCTTCAATCTTATCATTCCGATTCAATTTAACATCCTAACAATCAATTGATTAAACCTAGCTCGTGTCTAGACGATTCCTTCATCAAAATTACACCTTGGCTTTAACAGCTCAAACGATAGAGAGAGGAGGACTCAAACGTACGATTAATAGATTATAATGGAGTATAGCTAGAGCAAGAAAACAAATTGATTTTGGAAATTGAAATTGGAATGGCATAAGGTGACACAAGTAAAAACAGAGAGGAACACAATGAAAGATAGAGAGAAGTTGAGAAATGGAAAGAGAGATGAAGAAAGGGAAAGAGAGATGAAGAAAGGGAAAGAGAGGTGAAGAAAGGGAAAGAAAGATTGGGAAAGAATGATTGAGAAAGGGCAAGAAAGGTTGAGAAAGGGCAAGAAAGGTTGAGAAAGGGAATGAGAGAGAGAGAGAGAGAGAGAGAGAGAGAGGAGGGAGGGAGAGAGAGAGAGAGAGGGAGGGAGAGAGAGAGAGAGAGAGAGAGAGAGAGAGAGGGAGGGAGAGGGAGAGAGGGAGAGAGAGAGAGAGAGAGAGACCGACCCGGGGGAGGGGGTGGATAGAGAAACCGGAGTGAGACGGTTTGAAATTGTAACCAGTAAAACCTGATAACACTGTACATGATGTTTAGAAATAGGGCGGGGCGTTTATAATTCCAGTTCTTTCACTGGACATGAATGGAATATCACAGTTTGGGAGTCCTCCTCGAGATCACTTGATTTGGAGTTAAAATCTACTCTCAAAAGTAGGAACGAAATTGTCATATTTGTGTTATGAGCTGAATCGGGCAAGAAAACATAGAAAAAGATAACTATATAAACACGTAATTATAAAGTAAAATTCAAACCATCGTTCTCGCCGGCCTCGACAGTTTCCTTCTCGATGCGTGCCGTGATGGGAGGTTCCATGGGCTCGTCGATGCCGTACAACTTTTTGGTGATGTCCTTCCCAATCGTTGTCTCGAACACCGAACGGAGGAAGGGCTCGCGGCGGAGGAAGTTTTCCAGCTTACGACGTCGCCACTGGATGTAACGGCAGTCGATGTCGGCCGTGATCGTCACCTGGGTGGGAGGAGGAGGAGGATAAGTCTGATGACGGTGGCAATTGCGGTTTAAATCCATTGACGTTAAGAAAGATTAATGTAGAGGCAGATGATTGAGGATTTGACATTTGAGTGGGGGTTCAAGTAAAGATGGAGTTAACATTTGGGGGGAGGATGGGGATAAGTGACGGTGGATGAAATATTTGTTTAATTAATGGCGGACAGAACATTTCGGGAAGGAGTGGAAGGTGGTGAGGGGTAATTTTGCAGATTAACATTTGGGGGATGGGGTGGAAGGTGGTGAGGGGTAGGTATTGCAGATTAACATTTGTGGGATAGGGTGGAAGGTGGTGAGGGGTAGGTATTGCAGATTAACATTTGGGGGATGGGGTGGAAGGTGGTGAGGGGTAGGTATTGCAGATTAACATTTGTGGGATAGGGTGGAAGGTGGTGAGGGGTAGGTATTGCAGATTAACATTTGGGGGATGGGGTGGAAGGTGGTGAGGGGTAGGTATTGCAGATTAACATTTGTGGGATAGGGTGGAAGGTGGTGAGGGGTAGGTATTGCAGATTAACATTTGGGGGATGGGGTGGAAGGTGGTGAGGGGTAGGTATTGCAGATTAACATTCGGGGGATGGGGTGGAAGGTGGTGAGGGGTAGGTATTGCAGATTAACATTTGGGGGATGGGGTGGAAGGTGGTGAGGGGTAGGTATTGCAGATTAACATTCGGGGGATGGGGTGGAAGGTGGTGAGGGGTAGGTATTGCAGATTAACATTTGGGGGATGGGGTGGAAGGTGGTGAGGGGTAGGTATTGCAGATTAACATTTGTGGGATAGGGTGGAAGGTGGTGAGGGGTAGGTATTGCAGATTAACATTTGGGGGATGGGGTGGAAGGTGGTGAGGGGTAGGTATTGCAGATTAACATTTGGGGGATGGGGTGGAAGGTGGTGAGGGGTAGGTATTGCAGATTAACATTCGGGGGATGGGGTGGAAGGTGGTGAGGGGTAGGTATTGCAGATTAACATTTGGGGGATGGGGTGGAAGGTGGTGAGGGGTAGGTATTGCAGATTAACATTCGGGGGATGGGGTGGAAGGTGGTGAGGGGTAGGTATTGCAGATTAACATTTGGGGGATGGGGTGGAAGGTGGTGAGGGGTAGGTATTGCAGATTAACATTTGTGGGATAGGGTGGAAGGTGGTGAGGGGTAGGTATTGCAGATTAACATTTGGGGGATGGGGTGGAAGGTGGTGAGGGGTAGGTATTGCAGATTAAAATTTGGGGGATGGGGTGGAAGGTGGTGAGCGGTAGGTATTGCAGATAACATTTGGGGATGGGGTGAGTTTTCAGGTAGAAATTGTGTATAATTCAGATGAAGAAGTAGAAATGAAGAAGGAGAAAAATTTAAAAAAAAGGGAAATAAACCAAGGAAGGAAAACCAACAGGAATTCAAAAGAACAAAAAATGGTTTTAAAAAGATGAAAAAGGGAATAATGTTCATGAACAAGTTGGTAGGTTGAGTGAATATTTTGATTGACAGTAAAGTGACATTTGAGTTATGGGACGAAATGGATAAAAGGGGGCAAAAGAAGACAAAGTTGGATTCAAATGTCATTCTAAATATTTGACAACAAACGGGGGAGAGGGGATATGGACATGGTGATGAAATCTGGTGACATATGAGGGCAAAAACCGGCTCATGAAACCCAATACGCGAGAATGCCCCTCAACCTAAATATAATATTTTGTTCGGAAATGTAAGCCCCCCCCCCCCCACATGTTGCGTCTAGGCACAAATTATAATATCCCTTTGATACTTAATGGAATTTATGACAAGAATCCTTAAGAAAAATGTGGAATAAACAATTATGTATAGATGAACAGGTACTTATTGGATAAATATACTGTAAAACTACGTAAACATTCATCCTAATGGATTATGTTTTATGTAATGTGTCAACACTTGGCTAACGTGATCGCAAACATTTTCGAAAAATCAACTCGAGGGAAATTTCAATATCGTTTAGTACATTCCATAGAAATCATGTTCGGGTTACATAATACATCATAGTCATGTTCGCATATTTCAATATGTGACGCCCAAGGCTGTAGGTTTATATTTTCGGAAGTGCACGTCTAGTTGATATCGTGTTGGCTGTAAAAAATGACATATGTCGTACATAATTTATGTATATTGAAAATATGTAAATGAATACACAAATAATAACTGTAATTAAAAGTTAAAAGGCAGATGAATTTGACGTGAGGTGGCCATGTCCATAATTATATTCACCACAATTCAGCGGACAATTAAAAAAAAAAATCATCCCTTACTTTTTAAAAAAAAGGCTAGAATGAAGCGGAAGCTATAAATGGGGATACGAATGAAGCTTTTTGATGAAGGCCATTTAATGGTTAAAGCATGTCGCTCAAGAATAGGAATTTTGCCTATACATCCTACCCGATTGCGTCTTATAAAGAACCCATGGCAGTGGTTTAGAAGAAAATTCAAATGGCTGGCTAACCACACGTCGATAATCCCTTGACAAGCATTAGTTTGAAGGAGAAGAAAACTAAAATGTTATGCGGTATTGCATTTCATTTCTGTCAAAATGACAGTTACTGTCGCCATTGTTTTTCAGCAATGAAGAGAGAGATTATAAAACACGACATAACACACCGCAAAGATGGGAGGAGATCGAGAGAGAAATATATCAAGAGAGAGAGAGAAATAGGGAAAGAGAGGGGAAATATGAGAGGAGAGAGAGGGAGAGAGGGGAGAGGGGGGGGAGAGAGGGGAGAGAGGGAGAGAGGGGAGAGAGGGAGAGAGGGAGAGAGGGGAGAGAGGGAGAGAGGGGAGAGAGGGAGAGAGGGAGAGAGGGGAGAGGGGGAGAGAGGGAGAGGGGGAGAGAGGGAGAGAGGGAGAGGGAGGAGAAGAGAGGAGAGGAGAGAGGGGAGAAGGGGAGAGAGGCGAGAGAGGGAGATAGGGGAGAGGGGAGAGAGGGAGAGGGGAGAGAGGGGAGAGAGGGAGAGAGGGGAGAGGGGAAAGATGGAGAAAGAGGAGAGAGGTCAGGAGAGAGAGAGGAGACCGGGGGGGGGGGGCGGGGGATGAGAGAAGCGGAGAGTGCAACAGGTGAAATTGATAATATCAATTTCACCTTTTTCACATATTTCACCTGTTCTGCTTTCCGCTTCTCCCTTCTCCCCTATATGGATGGAAGAAATAGGAATGGAAGAAATAGGATTGGTAGGAAGAGAAACGGAGAGCGAGAGATGAGGGGAGGGGAGAAGAGAGAACGAGAGACTGAATGTATGTAGACATACGCGCTATTTAATGTGTTACCGATATTCAGTTTGTTAGAAAACGGTTAGAACAAATAGAGGAATAAGATTTCTCGCGGACAGAGAACGAAAAGATATACTGTCTTCTGATAGCCAAGAGGGTGTTAGCTCTACTGTATGCAAAAATAAATTATCAATAAATGATCAATAAATGCCCCTTTGAAAGAAAGAAAAACAGAACGAAACATAAAGCGAAAAATTCTCTGAACATTTTGGCAGTATATCGCAAGATGTACTTCTCACCTGAAATTTACTCTTTGTGCCGTCGCTGCTAGCCTCCCACTCGGGAGAGTCGAGAAACTGTGTAGGATGGATGTAGTGCAGAAACTGACCTCCTGCTGAAACAATCATTCTGAAAAAGAAAGAAAAACAAAACAAGATAAATAACGTCAATGCATATCTATCGCCAATGAAAATGTTTTGTTCAGTAGCACATCAAATAAGTATTAATGTATGGTTAATTACTTGTTGAGGTTATTCTGAAATCTTATTTTTAAAATGTTTTTAATTCTGAAAATCTAAAAAAACCTTCTTTGGTTACTTCATGATGTTTCTTACATATTTTGTGTTCCTAAATTCTGTATATTAATTTCGCTATGATGTATAATCGTTTGCATAGAGCCACAATAGCATAATAACGTTGGCATGGAGTTAACGCCCTATGAACCAAACAAATGACATATTATACGTGTCCGTTAATATCGTTGTACAATGTGTGACCATCGATTTACTAAAGCTTTAGTACAGTAACTCCATGGTGTGACACGTATTTCATTATTAATAATGTGACGTATTAGCCCTGCATTGTTAATAATAAAACATGATCTGGGCTCTTTTCTCCTTTCTACGTTTATATAAATTTGTTTGTAGTATTTATACTTCCTTTGTTAATAATAATGATTGTTAATAAAGTGATATTGAAACAAAACCGTATATGTAGCGCCAATGGGTTAAAACAAATTCTTAAAAATAATCATGGATTAATTGTTCATCTATCAACACTCAAACACGATAGATATCTTATTGTTCGGAGAATGACCCTACACACTTATAGCTACGAAATATACGATGATGCACTGCAAATAATGTATGATAATAATGCAGCCTGTGTAAGAGGTTGGCATTTACGCAATATCACGCAATGTGTGACATCTGTAAGACAATAATTATCAGGAGATTGCAAACTAATATTGTTACAAAGTTACGTAATATATGACGTTTGCGCGGACAATATATTCACTGACGTACAGAAAAGAAGGAGGGATAGAATAAAAGCCACAATGTTGTCATGGCAACACATGATGAAGATGGGGATTTGAGAATGTCTTCTATCATCTTGTCTGCATCATGAGCGGCTGAACAATAAACAATTCCATGAATAATTATCTTCACGAGACGCAGTTTGGTTGAAAATACGAGCATTGGATGTATAAATAAATGTTTTTTAAAGGGAGTGTTTAGGAGTATTGGACAAGGTCCTAGGAGGAATTCAAGTGGGGATGGGGACGGGGACGGGGGGAGGGGGTTACATGCGGAGGGTGTGAGGTCGTAAGAGACATGCATTCTGTGATCCAATAGTTAATTAAGGTAAAATAACTACCTCTTGGTGATTCAAAATTTGCTTTTGTTAAATATGTGGATATTATAATGTACATGGTTGGGGTAGTCGTGGCGATGGGTTTAAGGCTAGTTATATAGGTTAAGGATAGCTGTAGCGTTCATAGGAGGTTTTATTTATGTTTAAATCGAACGCAGACTCCAGCAATAAAGTCACCTAAAACTATGCAATATCTCGTCTGAGAAGTCGCTATCTTTCTTTTTCATCTCCTAAAAATTACTCATCATTTTTCTATTTCTTGTTTTACTTTTTTCTTCATTTTCTTATGAAATCTGCGCGTACTTCGATCGTATATGTAGTCAGTCTTTCGACGTTGAAGTACACATATCAACCTGTTCCAGTAAATCAAATCGTGACGTCACAATACCTTTAGAGCACCCTAATACGGCTAATATAATTACAACCTTATAAGATTACACATCTCGAATCTTGTATGATACTTGATGAAAGGGTTCCCTGCGGGAACTGACAATGCTTTTCTCTTCATGCCCAGTCATCAAAATGAAAATAGAATCCCTTTGAGCTAACATGCTAAAGCTAATAAGCTTCTCAAGATTAGAAGGTCAATAAGAACGCTCAAACGTTATAGAATGAAATAAGATTGGCATAAAGCACTGACATGAGCATTATATTACTTGAATATAATGTCTATTTTGAAGGGGATAATGATGTTGGAGGGTAGTCTTACCACCGTTCTACACACTGAAAACCTTCGAATAAACAATAGTCATGATACGGGATCCAAGAGGCAAGGGACGGGGTCATGACTGTGTCCCCAACAGAACCAAAGTTTTTGCCTCCAACTATGTCTCTTGGTAGCAATGTCTCAAATTTATCGGGTCATTACCTATTCCTCGGTTGGCGGCACAACTAAGAAAAAGAGGGACATTGCTCACGATAATTTTCGTCTGCTGGCAATATTTGAACATTTTGCCGAATATATTGAATTGGCCGATAGACATTTTGAAAGAGGGTGTCGATCGCCCCATGAATCTCATGTTGGAATGATATAAAAAAGAGTCTACCCTTTTACATAATGACAGGAAGCCCACAGGAAAACACAAACGAGACCTTGAAGCCGGAAAAGGGAAATCAATAATGAATTTGAATCAGTTTATTTCTAAAATGTCAGCAGAATCATGAGATCAAAATCGAAAACAAAATAATTCAAAAGCTTGATACGACATCTTGTATAAAACTGAGTCTTTTGATGGGAATTTTCATTGGCCTACATGACTACGCAAATTTAGTTTCGTCAAGGACCTGAATGGCCGTTATTTAAGAGAAAGGTGGAGGGGAGGGGGTAACAAGCCTATTTACAATTTATATCGCTAGTCCCGTAATTATTGCTCTTGAAAATCTTTTTTTTTTTCTTTTTTCAACTTCCTTAAAGAGAGGGGAAGGACGGTTTAAGGGATCAAGGGAGGAGAGAGAGAGAGCCAGTGAAGGGGGGTGAAGGGGTAAAGAGAGGCAAGGAAGGGAGGGAGGGAGAGAGAAGTAAGAGGGAGAGAGGGAGAGAGGGAGAGAGGGAGGGAGGGAGGGAGAGGCGTAAGAGGGAGGGAGGAGAAAGGCGTAAGAGGGAGGGAGGGGAGAGGCGTAAGAGGGAGGGATGGGAGAGACCGCGTAAGAGAGGCGTAAGGAAGGCGTAAGAGAGGCGTAATAGAGGCGTAAGAGAGGCGTAAGAGAGGCGTAAGGGAGGCGTAAGGGAGGCGTAAGAGAGGCGTAAGAGAGGCGTGAGAGAGGGGTAGGAGAGAAAGAGATATCAATTGGGGATAAAAATACACCGGTACGAGAAGACAAAATAGAGAGAAGGAAAGAATGAAATGGAGCGATATATTATATATATATACTTGTCTAAAGAGTGAGAGATAGTGAGAGAGAGAGAGAGAGAGAGATACAGACAGACAGACAGAGATATACAGACAGACAGACAGACAGAGACAAACACACATGCAGACAAAGGCATCAACATAGACAGAGAGAGACAGAGAAGAACCCCTTGCATATGGAGCAACCTCCTGAGAAAGCAGGTCATTTGCTTCTGATTATCTAGACCTGAGGCGTTGATTAAAGAGTATTGTGGTGTTACTTTCCGCTGATTCCGATGGGATACACTAAATCTTGCCCACAGTGCATGTACAGGGCCATTGATTAAAAACGTAGTCCATCATGTCCATAGAGACTTAAGACAATAGCGAATGGGAGCAGCGAAATCTAAAAGATTTTTCGTAGAAATCAGTGGCATAGCGCGATTCCTAAAAACAAGGTTGGTATGGTGGCCAGGTGGGGAGGGGAGGGGGCGTGTTTAATAATAGTTAGCGGTTTAGAATGTGTAATGCATGGTAACATGGAGGGACTAGTCATTTTTTTTATATACAAATAAATCAATAAACCAATCAATAAACTTAAAACAGATAATTGTTTTATGTTGTTAGTTATGTGAAGAGAATTGCCTCAATATGTGAACTCTGATGATTTGTTAATGATACCGTAAGATTCAACACGTATTCGAAATGTGGTCAAAAATTTTAAAATTATTTTACTTCAGTCTAGAGACCTTTACTCGGGTTAAAGGGACAAGGGCTTTATTTCGTGAAACAAAACATGGTAGGGTACTAGGGTTGCAAATGGGTTTTAGGTTATTGGGATCCTGTAAGATGCTGTATTGTCCTTTGCGACCGACCCCAAAATCTTGAAATCTACGGTCGGCTTTAAAAATATTTAAAAATACCGTTTTTTAGAGAGGAAAAAATATGGGAGCATCCTCAAAACTGAGAAATATCAGCCCAAGGAGGGGAAGAAAAAAAAAATTCCGATCGACCGACCCACCTTAAGGGCAATACAACATCTTTTTTTTTGTTTAGACCTCAAGGTGAGCTAGTCAAGGGTGTTCCATGATTCTTTCGGGGGGGGGCACACATCCATACTTTCTGATAAAAAACAACCATGCATACCATATTTTGCAGGTGCCTATGGCACTGGAATACACTTGGGCACATTTTCATGTACTTGAGATATGCGAGAAGGGATGTTAAAGAGGGCACACGCCCCTCGTGTACCCCCTTTCGGATCCGATCAAGGAGTCATTCGGAGCAGAGCCATCTAAACACAGAGTTTGGCCAACGTGGTTTCACTCACTCTGGGTAACAACTTGGCGTATATTCTTTTGTTGCGTGCTTGCCAAACAAAGCAGTAGTCGCCATATTGTGTCCAACTCAAACCGGGTTGGCCAAACTCTGTGTATAGATGGCTCTGATTCGGAAAAGATTATACAAGATTAAGTAGAATATATGAGCAAACGACACGATGAGACAAGAAGAAATAAGAATGATAAGGGACGACGAGGAAATGGAAAACGCGTAGTGAAGCTGGTCAAGAAAATAAAAATGAATCATTGGAAATAAAGTCAGGATTTCCAATGTTTGCACAGGCTTTGCAGCAGAAAGACTATCTCCCAAAAGGAAATTGCTAAACAATCTCCATTTCGTGACTTTTTACTTGAAATATGATTTCAAAAGCAAGGTGACCGCGTTGAGAGCATTAACTGAAACTTCCAATAACGCACGATTTTGACTTAAACTCAATAACCAGTCGTTTATCGATAAGGGCCCTAGGAATTAATGTGAAACATAATGAGCAATTCAAGGTCGTCATGTACTGTACATTAGGATTTGATGTTCATTTCAGAGAAACATTGATTTTGTAAATGTCAGAGAACACACAAAGCATATTGT